AAAAAAAAAAAAAAAAAAAACCTCATAAAAACATAGTAAAAGTGGTCCATTTGATGCTGTATTTCATGTCTTCTGAAGTAATGTATTTTGTGTGAAGACATGAGAACCATGCTAGAACATGGCATTATTGACATCGAACCTGGTGCAACGTGTCTTGGCATGACATATTTGAATGTGTATATGAAAGCAAATGTGAATGAAAGTTATTGTGGAGCTTGTTAATGAACAACAACTTAAATTCAGATTTTTTTTTGGGGGGGGGTTGATTCTCATTCATTTCAATAAAGTATAACAGTCAGGTTCTGGAAGTACAGTCCCATGCATTTTCTTCACAGGGGAATTGTTTTTTAACAATAACTTATAAAAGACAGACCTACTGTGAGCTACATGGTTATTAATCAATGTTATATGCTTTCCTTTCTAAAAGCCGTTAAGTACACAGTCTTGCACCTTTGTCTTTTCGTCTGGATTTCATGGGACAAATAAATGGGGAAAAACACTTCCAGAACCAAGACTACAAAAAAAGTGGGCACTTTGCTTGCATAGGACCCAAGTACATGTTCTGAACTTAGTCAAAAAACATTAAAAATTCTCTAGAGTGAATCTTTCTACATTTTTAATGGTTGTCAATGGGGGGGATTGTTGTAGTTACAGCATCTATCAGAAGAAGTTAAAGAGGCCAAACCTTGACACCTTGTTTTATGTTCTTGCAGAATTTCTCCAGAGTCAAGATGCAGGTGACAATGTCTTTAGCCTCGCTGGTCGGCAAGTCTTCGGACATCCATGAGGAGTACCTACGCCGCTCTTTCAGAACTATCCTAGCATACGCAGAAGAAGACACGGAAATGCAGTCTACACAGCTGCCCTCACAGGTAACACTTTGGCCAGAAGACATCTAGCCTAGTCCAATCAATAAGTATACAAAACATCTGTTTTAATGAATTACCCTACTGGTTTCTGTCCCCACAGGTGGATGAACTCTTGAGGAATCTAAACAGTATCCTCTCAGATACAGTCAAGATGAAAGAGTTCCAGAAAGATCCTGAGATGCTTATGGACCTCATGTATAGGTACACAAATATTCTCCTGCAGCTAAAACTTTGCATCTGCATCTGCATTTTGGATCCCAGGCCTGTGGTTTTCTTTTCTGCTTCCCATTTTCGCTGTGGTTTCTACTGTTTGTCTACTGTTTTTGGACTTACCATGGTAACCGAGTGGCACATTTGAGCCCTGCAGTGTGCCTCACATGTGTAATAACTTGAACGAATATTGCCAGTCCACAGATGCTTTGATATTAGAAACACAATTTTATTTATTTCCTTGGAGCATTAACCAATGGTTTACTTTGGCTCCAGGATCGCAAAGGGTTACCAGACATCTCCAGACCTGCGTCTAACCTGGCTCCAAAACATGGCAGAGAAGCACAACAGCAGGAAGTGCTTTACAGAGTCAGCCATGTGTCTGGTCCATGCCGCGGCCCTGGTGGCTGAATATCTCAGCATGCTGGAGGATCACAAATACTTGCCTGTGGGCAGCGTCACCTTTCAAGTGAGTTATTATCATGGCTAGGAAACGCTTGAATCGGCTCCCTTTCCGAAAAACAACAGTAGGCGTGAATTATGTCTCGGCTGCTCTTCGAACCCTCATACATGGTTCGGTGTAAATAAGATCCTTGTCCGACTGAGGTAAATAATTGTCTCCCCCCACCAGAACATCTCTCCTAATATAATATATATATATATATATATATATATATATATATAAACTTAATTATATTTCAATATTTTTAGTAATAAGAATAATTTAAAAAGTAAAATAAAAAATAATAATTACTATTATTTGTGTTAATTTTATAATAAAAAAAACTTAAATGTGTATATATTAATTTAATTGTAAAAATGTAATATTTAATATGTATACTAATAACAATCATTACAAAATAATTTATTTAATTTATTTATCTATTTAAAACATTCAAATGAACATTATGTAGCTATACAGTATGTATATAAAATAGAAAATGTATTACTGTTCATTGCTTCTTACCATTGTTCACGTACAGGGCGGGTTGTATGAGGCAGTTAATGAGGTGTACAAGGTAATCGTGCCTATACTGGAGGCCCACAGAGATTTCCGGAAGCTCGCTTCCACACATGACAAGCTCCAAAGGGCTTTTGAGGACATCATTCAAGAGGTAAAGCATACAAATGACATGTCCTC